GCGGAGCCTGGGGGTGCCGAGCCTGGGGGCGCTAGGTCTGCTCGTGTGGCCGCCGGCGGTGCTTCGTCGAGGCGGGAGCCGCTCTCTCCACAGGAGCTGCGCGAGTGGTTTGCCCGCCGCTGGAGACGTGCTGCTGAGACTGGGGGTGCTGCTGGGGCTACTGGAGTTGGTCCTGCTGGAGCTGCTGGCGGTACTGGTGCTACTGGAGCTGGAGCTGCTAGGGGTGTTGGCGCTGGTGTTTCTACTAGCGCTGGTGCGTCTTGGGGTGCTAATGAGGCTGTTGGAGCTGACGGTCCTTCTGGAGCTGGTGCTGCTGGAGCTGGAGCTGCTGGGGGTGTTGGCGCTTGTGGTGCTGCTGGCGGTGGTGCTTCTGAGGGTGCTGGAGTTGGCGCTGTTGGAGCTGGAGGTGCTACTGGCGCTGGTGCTCCCGCTGGGGGTACTGGTGCCGTCCTTGCTGCTTATGGAGGCGCTGAGCGGCCGAGGCCGTACTTCGTTCCGCTCCTGGAGCAGGTTCTTTGTCTCCCGCCCTCTCCTGGTCCTGCTCCTCCCTTAGAGTGTCCACAGCCTGTCCAGTCGCAGTCACAGTTACAGCCCGCCTCCCTTCTACCTGCTCTTCTCCCTACACTGGTCCTACTGGAGGTCTTGCTGAGCCTCGTGAGCCTGCGTCCCCTGTTCGTGCTGCTTGCACTAGTGGTCGTACTGCGCGTCCGCGTCCTCCTGCGGTCCCCGGCACACACCAGATGGCGCTGCGTCCTTCCACTGCTCCTCTGCGTGTCTCGTTGCCGTCTCCTCCAGAGTCCTCTCTTCCTTCTCTTGCTGACCCGTAGTCTGACTCCCTTCGTGCTGCTAGTCCTTCGGTCACGCGCCTTCTTGCTACTGTTGTCACTGACCCTTCTTTTGAGTCCACTGCTGCGTCTGCCTTAGTTGCTGAGCTTGTCGACTTTGCTGCTCACTGTCGCCTAGACTACGCTGCTAGTCTTGTCGATGAGTCTGAGTCTGTTCGTCCTCCGTCCGTCGGGGGTGAGTGTGCTCTTAGCACGGACGTCCTTGAGGACAGGCAGGAGGAGTTCCAGTGCTTTGCTGCTGCTTTGCCCCATCTTGTGTCCATGCTGATTGCCCCTAAGGGAGACCCGGATGCACCAGACATCCCGACTCCTCGATCGTACGCTGAGGCGATCGAGGGTCCCTACTCCTCTCAGTGGCAGTCAGCCATGGACGCAGAGATGACTTCCTGGAAGTCCACAGGCACCTACGTCGACGAGGTTCCCCCACCTGGGGCGAACATCGTCAGTGGCATGTGGATTTTCAGGGTGAAGCGGCCGCCGGGTTCTCCGCCTGTCTTCAAGGCGCGTTACGTCGCTCGAGGCTTCAGACAGCGGCAGGGAGTTGACTACTTTCAGACCTTCTCTCCCACCCCAAAGATGACCACTCTTCGGGTGCTGCTGCACATTGCCGCTCAGCGCGACGACGAGCTTCACTCTCTTGACTTCAGCACAGCTTTCCTGCAGGGCAGCCTGCACAAGGAGATCTGGCTGCGCCGCCCACCTGGCTTCACTGGGTCGTTTCCTCCTGGTACCCAGTGGAGCCTCCGGCGGCCAGTCTACGGTCTCCGCCAGGCGCCCCGTGAGTGGCACGACACACTGAGGACTACACTTGCGGCTCTTGTCTTTGCTCCTTCTACAGCCGACCCGTCGTTGTTTCTACGCACCGACACCTCTCTGCCGCCGTTCTACATCCTTGTGTACGTCGACGACTTGGTCTTTGCCACTGCTGACACTGCTGGACTCGCCCACGTGAAGTCCGAGCTGCAGAAGAGACACACGTGCACAGACCTGGGTGAACTGCGGAGCTACCTTGGCTTGCAGATCACTCGGGACAGAGCACAGCGCACCATTACCCTGACTCAGTCACACATGGTGCAGCACGTCCTTCAGCGCTTCTGCTTCACGTACTCCTCGCCTCAGGCCACTCCTCTGCCTACTCGCCACTCGCTCTTAGCTCTGCCTTCGGATGTGTCCGTAGAGCCGAGTCGTCCGTACCCAGAGCTTGTTGGCTGCCTCATGTACCTGATGACCTGCACTCGACCTGACCTGGCATACCCTCTTAGCATCTTGGCACGCTATGTCACTCCTGGGAGACACCGACCAGAGCACATGGTTGCAGCGAAGAGGGTGTTGCGCTACGTGTGCAGTACGTCGGGCATGGGGCTAGTGCTTGGAGGGCGACGTCGAATGGTACTCACAGGTCACGCTGACGCTTCTTGGACTGACGACCAGGCTCTGCAGCGGTCGTCACAGGGTTACACCTTCAGCCTTGGCTCCGGCTCTGTTTCGTGGCGGTCTACCCGCTCGTCTTCTGTTCTCAGCTCCAGCTGTGAGGCTGAGATCTACGCAGGGGCCATGGCTGCACAGGAGCTACGCTGGCTCACCTACCTGCTGACTGACCTTGGAGAGCCGCCTCGTTCTCCTCCAGTTCTGTACGTAGACAAAAAGGCCATGCTGGCCTTGTGTCGGGAGCACAGACTGGAGCACAGAACGAAGCACATTGCTCTCCGCTACTTCCTGGCTCGTGAGCTGCAGCAGCGTGGTCAGCTCCGCCTCACCTACGTGGCCTCTGAGGCCAACACTGCTGATATCTTCACCAAGGCCCTTCCGCCTTGTGATCATCAGCGCTTCTGTACTTTGCTAGGTCTTGTGCCTACCTGGCCTCACTTGCTCACTTCTTGATCTTGTTTGTACTGTCCTCTTTCTATTCTTGCACTTGCTTGTTTACCTTTATATATATGATCTTGTATGTGAACTGGCCTTCTGGCCTTACTCTTGTGCTCGGACTGTGTGGTGACTTTGTGATCCACCCTGAGCTTGCTTTGCTTTGCTTGACTGGTCTTGTGACCACTTGTTCTCCCCCACTTTGCCTATGCGGGTGTGTCAGAACATTATAGCTTATACATTTGTGTAGGCTGTAGTGGGGTAGCCCATAAGGGGTACAACCTAATTAGGGTTAGTACTTGTACCCAACTTTTTCATAGTTCAATCATTCTCTCGTTCTCATCTTCACAGAAAAAACGCGACAGCAACTGCAGCGGTATTACTACTGGCCGGAGCTGCTGACCAACGTGCAGCAACACGTGGGCTCGTGCCCCACGTGTCAGGTGATGAAAAGCTCGAGGAAGCGGAAGGCGGGTCAATTGCAGCCGACACCACCGCCCGAGCGCGCCTGGCAACAGGTTACCATGGACTTCGTCACAGGGTTACCTTCAAACCCTGGGGGTAACGACGCGGTGATGGTCGCTGTTGAGAGGTTGACGAAGATGGCACACTTCGCTGCGTGCAAAAAGTCTATCTCAGCCGAGGAGACCGCTCGTCTGTTCATCGCAGCCGTTGTTCGCCTGCACGGGATACCATCAGCGATTATCAGCGACAGGGACACGAAGTTTACTAGCAACTTCTGGAAAAATCTCTAGGAGCAGTTCGGGACCAGGCTACAGTTCAGTTCGTCGTACCACCCCAAGACCAACGGTCAAACGGAGCGGACGAATCAGACGATGGAGCAGTTGATTCGTCCCACGTGCGACGACCCCATGACTTGGGAGCAGCAGCTGCCGCTGATCGAGTTCGCGTACAACAATGCCACGTTAGCGACGACGCAGCAGTCCTCCTTCTACCTGAACTACGGGCAAAACCCTACAGTCTCCATGACGCCGAGTCCGGACAACCCAACACCACGTGCACAGTAATTCGCTGAAATTCTACAAGCTGCCCGCACCAGAGCCGCAGAAGCAATTAAAAAAGCAAACGTCATCGCTAAGCGCAACGCTGACCGCCACCGCCCCCCAGTCACATACCAGTCAGGGGATTACGTACTGCTCGACACGCAAAACCTGCGACTGCCCGACATACCAAAACTTCGACCGCGCTACTGTGGCCCATACCAAATCAGCCACATGATCACGCTAGTAACCGCGCACCTACTGTTACCGACCGACTGGTACATCAGCCCTTCGTTCCACGTCAGCTTGCTTCGCCCATACATCCCAACCACAAGCCAACTGCCTCGCCACCGCCCGCCATCCATGACTCGCCCTGCATCGGAGTCGATCATCGCGCCCGAAAAAATCCTGAGCCATCGGATTCGACACCCCACGGGAATCAAGAGGATTGAATTCCTCGTTCGCTGGAAGGATCACACGCCAACTGAGGACAGCTGGGTGCCCCTCGCCAACATCGAAAACCACCCTGCCCTGCAAGTGTACCTGAGGAGCCGGGGCTTCCGCGATATACACGCACTCGCGTAGCGGAGGGGGCTTCTTGAGGGGGGGGGGGGGGTAGTGTAAGGAATTTTCTCGATATTCCTTAGCGCACCCTGCAACATCGCGTACAGCAGCAGCCGTTGTTCGCCCGTTACTGCTAACGGGGCTTCGCCGACTTCGCGCGCACTATTTCACCAAACCTCGCACTGCTGGCCTGGCCATGTCGGCCTACGCTTCGGGACTAGCCCGAGCCTAGCTTCCAGCGTAGCACTAGCTAGCTCGCACGCACCGCGTTACCGTTTGCATGTTTCGCATATAAATGTTCGCTCATGCCTTCGCCCACATTTTGTACTCGTTTGACACCTTAGTGCAATTCTCGCTACTTAGATTCATTGCACCCGTAACAAATCTACAGAACAGCCAAGCCACCACCATGACCAGCCTCCAGCCCCTTGGGATGGGATCCTCCTAACGAATTCCCAACTTCCCGCCTCCTACCCACCGAGTGAATCCTCGCAATTCCCAAAACCTTCTAGTGTTTCGAATGTAGTCTAGTCAAACGCAGGAAGAGAGTTGACTGCCACGAACGGAGGTGAGGAGAGACTTAGACTGCAACGACACAGGCTGTGGCGAAATAGTCTCCGACGACACAACCTGCGACGAAACTGCGACGAGACAGGCTCGGACGAGGCGAGTCGCGACGAGACAGGCTGCGACGAAACGGGCTGCGACGAAACGGGCTGCGACGAGCATGGAGAACGGAGAGGGGAGCTCAAGAGCTTGGATGGAGGGGGGTAGCGAGGAAGAGGTCCGATGTAGCGCGCTGGATCTTATAAAGCGGATGGAGGAGGACGGTTCGTGGAAACTACCGTCGGAGCGCAGAATACAGGTTGGTTAGGTCGAATCGAACACGTGGTCGTCCGTGGCGTTCCCGTTGAAATGAGCGGGAAGCGAACACACGAAAGCGGTTTCCAGCCTTCACTCTGCGTCTGCTGGCGATCCTCTCAGAGCGACTGTCACTATTGTCGCCATTGTTGCTATTGTCGTTATGGTTGTTCGTGGTGGTTGAAGGCTGCTTCAGATGAACGCGGATGCACACTTTTCGTAGTGCTCATGTATACCCAGTTGCGAGAACTCGTTGCGTCTCATACCTGACTCGTTGCGACTGGCGACCGAAACGGTTCAGAACCGCACTAGGAGCGATCAACCTGATGAGACGATGCTGGAGTCTCACCTTTATCCTCCATTCCCGTTTGCCCACAATTCCCGATGCTCCCCTCCCACCCCACGTCATCCTCGTCTGCCTCCGTCAGGTGCCGCACGTGAGGCAGCAGCACTCGTGGGACTGTGGCGTGGCGTGCGTGCTCATGGTGCTCAAGGCGCTCCAAGTCCCCATCCACCCCGTCCAAACCGAGCCCATGCAAAGCATCCCGGCCGTCCATTCGCTACAGCCAATCAGAGCATCTCCTGGTATGCCTGCTGCTACATCCGGAACTAGATCCTCAAGATCAAACGTGGATCGTCCAGCAGCACATTCAGCTACAGCCGTGATCCAAGGTCCTGCTACAGCTGTACTTGATGCCCCTGCTACAGCCGCATCCCCTGCTCTTGTAGCCAGAGCTACAGATACAGGCACCGACCCAGCTACAGCTGCTGCTACAGCCTTTGCCACGCCCCCTCCCAGCAGCGCAGCCACTGGCGTAGCAACCGACAGATTTTCAGCAGCCGTCGCTCAGCCCACCATATCCCCACTAGCAGCAGACTCCTTTGCGTTAGAAGCACCACACGAGGAGCTTTCCTTGGACACGTCAGCCCAGGCGCTTCAGGGAGACGAAGTGGGCGGAGGGGATGATGCGGTGGCAGAGAGAGCTGCTGTGGAGCGTACCTGCCCGTCCGAAAGGGAGTCTGCGCGTGTAGCAGAGGGTGCTGACGCCATGTGGCACTCTCTGGAACCAGCAGCGGGTGCAGGGGATGTGGGAGAGGGTGTCAATGGGTGCACATGGATGCGCACAGCAGATGCCACAGGGGTTGCCGCAGCGGGGCCGGTGAGGAGAGGGTCGGCGAGGGGCCGTGGCTGTGCGGTGCGAGGTGGTGAAGAGGGGTGTGACGCCGTACCCGACACGACACGAGACATGCGAGCAGTAGCATGTGCAATTGCGGGTGCAGGGAGGGGGAGGGCCGGGGGGAGCAGGGAGGCATGTGAGCTGCAGCATCTGCACCGCCAGTGCGGCACCACCAGGTGGGTCTGATTGAAAATCTCTTCCAGGTAGGGATTGGCGGCATTGGTTGGCATGGCATGACACATGATATGGCATGGCATGACATGTTGGGTGTTTTGCACTGCATCGCATGTGTGGCATGCTCTGTGGTCTAAGCATGATGCCACACACAACACAATGACAGGATGACGTGACAACAAGCATATCCCGTCTGCCTACCCTCCAACCCAACCCCTCCCTTTCCCTGCTCCTTCCCCCTCTCCCACTCCCCTACCCCACCCTCCTACTTTTTCCACAACGAATTGCTCGTTTTCGACATAACTCCTTACCGCCTTGCTCCTCCCCCTCCACCCAGCCCAGTATGTCCCCACCATCCCTCTCACCTCTCACCTCTCTCCTCACACCCCGTGTGCCCTGCGCCCTGGACCCTCTTTTCTCTGCTCCCTGCCCCCTCCACCCTGCGCTCTGCGGGCCAACCATGGGCAGTGTGTGGAGCATAGACCTGGTGGCGCTGCTGCAGCGCCACGGCGTGGGGGTGGAGTTCCTCACCGTCACCATCGGCGCCAACCCCTCCTTCGCCCACCAGCCCTTCTACAAGGTGCGCCCTTCTACAAGGAGCCAACCTCTCTGCCCTCCACTGTATATGCTGTGCCGTACCCTGCCCTCCACTCCACGACTCGAGCTATAGACACAAGCATCAATACAAGTGTTTCACTGTTTCTCGCACACTCACTGTTGTCGTTCTGTCTCCGACCTCCCCCCCACCCGTACAGGAGAGTAACATGGTGTGGACAGGGTCAATCGTCTCTGTGCGGACTCTCATTAGACAAACCTCTATCTGTGGGTTTCCACTATTGCCACTCACCTCACCTCCGCTCCCGCGTCCCCCCCTCACTCCAGGAGAACATCCCAGGGGACGTGGACAAGGTCGATCCTCTTTGTTCGATCCACTGTTTCGACTCACCTCTTTGTCCCACCCCCACGCCCACCGCCACGGCCGTGCAGGAGAACATGCCCGGGGATGTGGACAGGGTCAATCGCCTCTTTGCCGACACCATACGAGCCGGCGTGCGCATTCAGGTGCGAGGGGGTCGCTTGCTGAGGGGGTCGCTTGCTGAGGGGGTCGCTTGCTGAGGGGGTAGGAAAGCGAAGTGTGCATGCCTGTGGCTGATGGTTCTTATATGCCTGCAAGGTCAATTGGTGTGTCCAGACCAGGGTCTTTCGCCCCATCTGTCCCGCTTCCCTTCTGCCCTCCTCCCCCCTCCCTTCCTCCCCCCATCCCTTCCTGCCCTCCTCCCCTCCTCCCTCCTCCCGTCATGCCCTCCCACCCTCCGCACTGCCAAGCCTCCCTCTCTTCTCGTGCATCTGCAAGCCGGGTTCTGAAATTTTGCTGTTATCCCTTTTTTTCATTTCAGTTTTCTAGAGCAAGTGTACTTGCTGCTCTCTGCCTTATTCTCCCCGGCTTGTTTCTCTCGCTTCATCCCAGTACATGATGTTTACTTGTTCAATCCCCGTATTTCTCTCCACTCCCTCTTGTTTCATCTCACCCCACCGAACCTACCTCACACCACACCGCACCTCACCGCACCGCACCACCCGCAGTGTGCGTCCATAGGCATTCAGCATCTTGCCTGGCTGCTTCTCTCGGGTCGTTACCTCATCATTGCCCTCGTGGATAAGCGCAGCATCACGTGAGTCACTTGATCCCTGCTTCAGATGTGCTGCTATTCCACTCATACATTGGCTTCACATGTGCTGCTATTCCACTCATACATTGGCTTCACATGTGCTGCTATTCCACTCATACATTGGCTTCACATGTGCTGCTATACCGCTCTCCACTGCGCCGTGGCGCCGTGTGGGGGCCGGCTTTGTTTCTTCTGCTGTCAATCAGTGGCATGCACTCTGCACGCCGCAGCAGGCAGCAGCACTAGCCGTAACAGCATTCATCGTGTTGCACCCACCCCTCATGTGATTTCCATCCCCATGCTCGCCTCCCCATGCTCGCCTCCCCATGCTCGCCCATTCCATGCCTCCGCCCACTGCTCCCACGCAGCCATCCACTGGCATCAGAGCGATGCCCTCCTGAGTGCTGCGGACCCACTCCGGGCTACATTGGTGAGAGCTGCTGGGTGCTGCTGGGTGTGGCTGGGTGCTGCTGGGTGTGTGTGGCTGGGTGCTGCTAGGTGCTGCTGGGTGTGGCTGGGTGCTGCTGGGTGCTAGGGATGGGTGGTATCGTCCTGGTGCGTGCAGGTTGGATTGGTGAGAGCTAGCGGCATCAGCGCACTGATGCCGCCAGCTCCCTTCTGGGAAATGTGGCACATGTCCCAGTCCCTTCTCCTCCCTCGTGCCCCCATCTTCCACTCCTCTCTTGTCTCAAATCCTTTGCCCTGCTTCCTCATCCCACCTGCTCTCTCCGTCTTCTTCATCCTGTCCTCCCATCCTTGCCTCGTATAACCCCACAGCTCGCATGATCTTTGTCCCCACAGCTCGCATGATCTTTGTCCCCACAGCTCGCATGATCTTTGTCCCCACAGCTCGCATGATCTTTGTCCCCACAGCTCGCATGATCTTTGTCCCCACAGCTCGCATGATCTTTGTCCCCACAGCTCGCATGATCTTTGTCCCCACAGCTCGCATGATCTTTGTCCCCACAGCTCGCATGATCTTTGTCCCCACAGCTCGCATGATCTTTGTCCCCACAGCTCGCATGATCTTTGTCCCCACAGCTCGCATGATCTTTGTCCCCACAGCTCGCATGATCTTTGTCCCCACAGCTCGCATGATCTTTGTCCCCACAGCTCGCATGATCTTTGTCCCCACAGCTCGCATGATCTTTGTCCCCACAGCTCGCATGATCTTTGTCCCCACAGCTCGCATGATCTTTGTCCCCACCGCTCGCATGATCTTTGTCCCCACAGCTCGCATGATCTTTGTCCCCACAGCTCGCATGATCTTTGTCCCCACAGCTCGCATGATCTTTGTCCCCACAGCTCGCATGATCTTTGTCCCCACAGCTCGCATGATCTTTGTCCCCACAGCTCGCATGATCTTTGTCCCCACAGCTCGCATGATCTTTGTCCCCACAGCTCGCATGATCTTTGTCCCCACAGCTCGCATGATCTTTGTCCCCACAGCTCGCATGATCTTTGTCCCCACAGCTCGCATGATCTTTGTCCCCACAGCTCGCATGATCTTTGTCCCCACAGCTCGCATGATCTTTGTCCCCACAGCTCGCATGATCTTTGTCCCCACAGCTCGCATGATCTTTGTCCCCACAGCTCGCATGATCTTTGTCCCCACAGCTCGCATGATCTTTGTCCCCACAGCTCGCATGATCTTTGTCCCCACAGCTCGCATGACCTTTGTCCCCACAGCTCGCATGATCTTTGTCCCCACAGCTCGCATGATCTTTGTCCCCACAGCTCGCATGATCTTTGTCCCCACAGCTCGCATGATCTTTGTCCCCACAGCTCGCATGATCTTTGTCCCCACAGCTCGCATGATCTTTGTCCCCACAGCTCGCATGATCTTTGTCCCCACAGCTCGCATGATCTTTGTCCCCACAGCTCGCATGATCTTTGTCCCCACAGCTCGCATGATCTTTGTCCCCACAGCTCGCATGATCTTTGTCCCCACAGCTCGCATGATCTTTGTCCCCACAGCTCGCATGATCTTTGTCCCCACAGCTCGCATGACCTTTGTCCCCACAGCTCGCATGATCTTTGTCCCCACAGCTCGCATGATCTTTGTCCCCACAGCTCGCATGATCTTTGTCCCCACAGCTCGCATGATCTTTGTCCCCACAGCTCGCATGATCTTTGTCCCCACAGCTCGCATGATCTTTGTCCCCACAGCTCGCATGACCTTTGTCCTCACAGCTCGCATGACCTTTGTCCTCACAGCTCGCATGATCTTTGTCCCATCCCCATGCCTCTCATGCCCTCTCGACAATGTCCGACCGCCCTGCTCGTGTCTTGATTCGCCTTCCCTTGCCGGCACCTGCAGGTCACTTTGTGGTGCTCTGTGGGTTTGACGGCCACTCGAGGATGTTCCAGATCTGCGACCCCTCCTCGCATGGGCATGGGTATGTGCTGTGCTCCCTCTCTCCTCGCATGGGCATGGGTATGTGCTGTGCTCCCTCTCTCCTCGCATGGGTATGTGCTGTGCTCCCTCTCTCCTCGCATGGGTATGTGCTGTGCTCCCTCTCTCCTCGCATGGGCATGGGTATGTGCTGTGCTCCCTCTCTCCTCGCATGGGTATGTGCTGTGCTCCCTCTCTCCTCGCATGGGTATGTGCTGTGCTCCCTCTCTCCTCGCATGGGTATGTGCTGTGCTCCCTCTCTCCTCGCATGGGTATGTGCTGTGCTCCCTCTCTCCTCGCATGGGTATGTGCTGTGCTCCCTCTCTCCTCGCATGGGTATGTGCTGTGCTCCCTCTCTCCTCGCATGGGCATGTGTATGTGCTGTGCTCCCTCTCTCCTCGCATGGGTATGTGCTGTGCTCCCTCTCTCCTCGCATGGGTATGTGCTGTGCTCCTTCTCTCCTCGCATGGGTATGTGCTCCCTCTCTCCTCGCATGGGTATGTGCTCCCTCTCTCCTCGCATGGGTATGTGCTCCCTCTCTCCTCGCATGGGTATGTGCTCCCTCTCTCCTCGCATGGGTATGTGCTCCCTCTCTCCGCTCATGAGTGCTCTTGTCCCTACACCACTTGGTATCACACGGGTTTTTGTCACATAAAACCCTTTCGTTCTTATCGACTTACCCACAGCCACCACTCATTCTTTTCTTCTTCCCGAACTTTTTCCCCTTCTTCTCTTTGCCTCTATTTTGTCGTCTTCCTGTCTTGTCGTTCCCTCTCATTTTTCTTCCCTCTCTTTTGATTGTTCTCCTCCTTCCCTATCTTATTTCCTTCCCTTCACTTCTTCTTCTTTCCTCTCGTTTCTTCTTCTCTCTGTTCCTGCACTTTTCTTCTCCCGGCTTCTTTCCACCGTCCCTCCCTTTTCATGCCTCACCCCACCAGTGGCACATCGTGGGTGCCGATGGCAGCAGTGGAGGATGCACGCATGACGTTCGGCACCGACCAGGATCTGATCCTGGTGAGCACAAATGGAATCTGGTGAGCAGGCTCGGAATCTGGTGAGCAGGCTCGGATTTTGGTGAGCAGGCTCGGATCTGGTGAGGCTCGGATTCTGGTGAGTAGGCTCGGAGTCTGGTGAGCAGGCTCGGATTCTGGTCAGCAGGCTCGGATTCTGGTGAGTAGGAGCAGGATCCAATTCTGGTGAGCAGGGGTGTGGTGCATGAAGGGGAGACATGGGAAAATACATGTGGGTGGGTCATGGCGAAGTGTGGGGGGAGAAGATGAACATGTGCCTGGTAGGAGGATTGCATGTGGTGCTGCCGTGCTTAGCATAGGTGTAACTCGTTGTTGTGGTTGAGGAAAGCGCTTTGTAGTCATTCTGTTATGAAGTTCACGAATCTGCTGAGCTGATTGTGTGTGGCAGATTCAACTTCCAGTTTCACCAGGGGGCGTCAAGATGAGCAGTGTACTCGCAAATAACGAGGCAGGAGGAGTGTGTTGCTAACATTCCAAGCCACTTCCAGGAGCAGGGTTGGGTAGATAGATTCACTACGTTAGGTTACAACAATATAGCTTAGCAACTCAAGATGAAGGCATAATGTCAGATGTGCCGGCCGGTGTACTGTTATGTGACACGTTTAGAAAAGTCCAACTGTATTGCTTATGGTTTCAACCCTGTTCTCGTTATTAAATTCGATGTATGGTACATGCGTTGTATTGGGTAGTAAGGTTGCTCTAAGAGTGTTTAGGAGCAGTTTTGGGATAAGTACAGAAAGACAGTAGGGAAAATATTTCAATGGTAACTTACATGGGGCACTATAACGTGTACGGTAACGATTTCAACACATTTGGTAACTCCGCTAACGCGTTTGGCAACTCGCATAACACGTTTGGTAACTCGCTTAACGCGTATGGTAACTATACACTAGCAGCCCATCACGTGAATGGTAAGTACATGAAACTCCCGCCGAAACGATCCTGACAAAGAAGGGATTTATCAATTGTGAAAGCGTTTACGCACAGTTTTATCATTCTTGAACAAGTCCCGCCGCGACTTTGAAGGACCTCGTTTGTTATATTACCATGGACAGAAAAGTTTCAGAGGCGTTTTAAATGTATATGTAGCTAGTGCAAAGACGGTTAAAATCATTTTTTTTATAGCATCATTACGAACTTGCAAAATGATAAAAACATTTCCCGAGAGAACCTCGGGGCTTTACTTTTTGTAATAACTGCAATGTTGGAGAATTTTTGCATATGGGAAAAAATACAGCTATTGAGAATTACATGTTTTATTTGAAAAAAAACCATAAACTGTGAGATTTGTAGAACAGGAATATGTGGACTATGAATGAAGGCAGTACAAATATGAAACCCTAACTGGGTTGTACCCCCTATGGGATACCCCACTACAGCCTACACTATAGTATAAGCTATAGATATGCTCTAACACACCCCCATAGGCAAAGTGGGGGAGAACAAGGGGTCACAAGACCAGTCAAGCAAAGCAAAGCAAAGCAAGCTCGGGGTGGATCACAAAGTCACCACACAGTCCGAGCACAAGAGCAGGGCCAGAGGCCAGTTCACATGCAGGAGTACAGACATATATATATATAAAACTAGACAAGCAAGAGCAGGTATATATATATGTCACAGTACAAGTAAAGTCAAGAGGAGAGCAAGTGAGGCAAGACAGGCACAAGACCCAGCTGGGTGCAGAAGCGCTGATGGTCACAAGGCGCGAGTGCCTTGGTGAACACATCAGCAGTGTTGGCCTCAGAGGCCACGTACGCAAGCCGCAACTGTCCACGCTGCTGTAGCTCACGAGCAAGGAAGTAGCGAAGAGCAATGTGCTTCGTTCTGTGCTCCAGACGCTGCATGGCCTTGTTGTCTACGTACAGCACTGGAGGAGAACGAGGCGGCTCTCCAAGGTCAGTCAGCAGGTAGGTGAGCCAGCGAAGCTCCTGTGCAGCCATGGCCCCTGCGTAGATCTCAGCCTCACAACTGGAGCTGAGAACCGAAGACGAGCGAGTAGCCCGCCACGAGACAGAGCCGGAACCAAGACTGAAGGTGTAACCCTGTGACGACCGCTGCGTAGCCTGGTCGTCAGCCCAAGAAGCGTCCGCGTGCCCTGTAAGGACCACTGGACTCCGCCCTCCAAGCACTAGCCCCATGCGTGACGTACTGCACAAGTAGCGCAATACCCTCTTCGCTGCAGCCATGTGCTCTGGTCGGTGTCTCCCAGGAGCAACATAGCGTGCAAGAATGCTCAGAGGGTATGCAAGGTCAGGCCGTGTGCAGGTCATCAGGCACATGAGGCAGCCAACAAGCTCTGGGTACGGGCCACTCGACTCTACGGACTCATCCGAAGGCAGAGCTGAGAGCGAGTGGCGAGTAGACAGAGGAGTGGCCTGAGGCGAGGAGTACGTGAAGCCGAAGCGCTGAAGGACCTGCTGCACCATGTGTGACTGAGTCAAGGTAATGGTGCGGCGTGCTCTGTCCCGAGTGATCTGCAAGCCAAGGTAGCTGCGCATTTCACCCAAGTCTGTGCACGTGTGTCTCTTCAGCAGCTCGGACTTCACGTAGGCGAGTCCAGCAGTGTCCGCTGTGGCAAAGATCAAGTCGTCGACGTACACGAGGATGTAGAACGGCGGCAGAGAAGTGTCGGTGCGCAGAAACAGCGACGGGTCAGCAGTAGAAGGAGCAAACCCAAGAGCCGCAAGCGTAGTCCTCAGTGTGTCGTGCCACTCACGCGGTGCCTGGCGGAGACCGTAGACTGGCCGTCGGAGGCTCCACTGGGTGCCAGGAGGGAAAGTCCCAGTGAAGCCAGGTGGACGGCGCAGCCAGATCTCCTCGTGCAGGCTACCCTGCAGGAACGCAGTGCTGAAGTCGAGAGAGTGAAGCTCGTAGTCGCGCTGAGCGGCTATGTGCAGCAGCACCCGAAGAGTGGTCATCTTCGGGGTGGGAGAGAAGGTCTGAAAGTAGTCAACTCCCTGCCGCTGACTGAAGCCACGAGCAACGTACCGCGCCTTGAAGACAGGTGGAGAGCCCGGCGGCCGCTTCACCCTGAAGATCCACATGCCACTGACGATGTTCGCCCCAGGAGGGGGAACTGCGTCAACGTAGGTGCCTGTGGACTTCCAGGAAGCCATCTCTGCATCCATAGCTGCCTGCCACTGAGAGGAGTAGGGACCCTCTATCGCCTCCGCGTAAGAGCGCGGAGTCGGGATGTCTAGTGCATCCGGGTCTCCCTCAGGAGCAAGCAGTACAGACGCAAGATGAGGTGAAGCATCAGCCAGACACTGTAACTCCTCCTGCCTGTCCTCAAGGACGTCCGTGCCAAGAGCACACTCACCCCCGACGGACGGAGGACAGACAGACGCAGACTCAGCAACAAGGCTAGCAGCGTAGTCTAGACGACAGCGAGCAGCAAAGTCGACGAGCTCAGCGACAAGAGCACACGCAGCAGTGGACTCAAAAGAGGGGTCAGTGACGACAGTAGCAAGCAGACGCGTGACAGTAGGACTGGCAGCACGAAGAGAGTCCAACTCAGGGTCGGCAAGCGCAGGAAGAGAGGACTCAGGAGGAGAAGGCAAAGGGGCACGCAGAGGAGCAGTGGACGGACGCAGAGACATCCGGTGCGTGCCAGGGACAGGAGGAGGACGCTGACGCGAACCGCGACCACTAGTGCGAGCAGCACGAACAGGCGACGCAGGACGAGACGCAGGCTCACGACGCTCAGCAAGACCTCCAGTAGGACCACTGTAAGGAGAGGGAGCAGGCAGTGGAGAGGAAGGCTCCAACAGTGACTGTGACTGGACAGGCTGTGAACACTCTACCCGAGGAGAAAGACCAAGAACCTGCTGCAGGAGCGGAACGAAGTACGGTCGAGGCCGCACGGCAGCTCCAGACTCAGCAGGGACAGCACCAGCACCCTCAGCGACAGCACCAGCGCCACCAACACCTCCAGCGGCAGGACCTCCAGCAGCACCAGCAGCAGAACCACCGCCAGGACAGACAGCAGTAGTCTCAGCACCAACACCCTCAGGAGCTCCTGCTCACGGAGTACCCGCACGCCCAGCAGCTCCGGGACCGGCAGCACCAGCACCCTCGACGGTCGAAGAAGCTCGAGCTCCAGCAGCACGCCTCCAGCGGCGAGCAAACCACTCGCGCAGCTCCTGTGGAGAGAGGGGCTCCCGGCGAGACGTAGCAGCAGGAGAAACCCCAGGCTCAGCAGCTCCAGACGTAGCACCCCCAGGCTCAGCAGCTCCAGACTCAGTACCCCCAGGCTCAGCACCCCTAGTAGCAGCACCTCCAGGCTCGGCACCCCCGCGCACAGCACCCCCAGAGTCAGCACCCCCACGCTCAGCACCCGCAGCAGTACCAGAGTCACCAGTAACCTCGACCGGGTCAACTGCGTCTACCTGGGACACACCTGAGGGGGCAGGAACCTGAGGGGGGAGGGGGTCTACCGGGGGGGGAACTGGCACAAGGAAGTCCGGCGGAGGGGGGAGGGAAGGAGTGCGGTAGGGGAAGACGCGGTAGAAGGGGACTGACTCGTCGAACGTGACGTCCTGGGAGGACAGAACACGACGAGAGGAGGGGTGGTAAAACTGCCACCCGGGAGCGTCTGTGGGGAAGCCAAGGAAGACACAGGGAGCAGCACGAGGGGACAGCTTGTCCGCAGACAAGTCGCGGACAAACGCCCGAGATCCCCAGACACGGAACGCCGACGCATCGCCAACCTTCCCCGTCTACAGCAAAGCTGGGGAGGTCTCCGGTCGGGAGACTCTGGGCTGAAGGTTGATCTGATGCGCGGCGTACCGAACCGCAAACGGCCACAGAAAATGGGGGGCAGCCGCATGCACCATGGACGTACGGGCGACGTCCATGACAATGCCGATGCGGCGCTCAGCAATCCCATTCTGCTGTGGAGAGTCCGGAAGCGTGAAGGTCTGGCGGATGCCTCGTGCCCGACAGTAGGCTCGCAGAAGGCCGGAGGAGAACTCTCCGCCTCTG